CCAGAACACCAGCCTAACAAAGGCAAAGCCCTGAGTTTGAGCCCTAGCAATGTGACAAAACAAAGAAAATTTACAAGTTAAAGTCATTTTTAAATTTGCTGTAACTAAATGTTCTTTCCCAGAGTACTAGTTTTGGAAAGAGGGTACCTGCAAAGACTAGCAGTGGGATCTTTATCCTTCTTTCCTGTGTCAATCATGTAAAAATGCAGACTTGTTCTCTGTGAATCAAACTACTTTTAATAACCACAGGGGTAAGCAGCTATCCCTCTACACATGCATGTACGCACATTATGACCATGGTTAGAGTCTGTCAAGGACGGCTATAGTCTACATGTAACCAACTTACACGGTGATCATATTTTTAAAGACTTGGGTTTAATGTCCTAACCCAACTAACATCAATGATTTATAGTCTTCTTTGCTTCCTAAGACAATGGTGTATCTGCTTAGGTATGTGTGCATACACAAACTAATTTTGCATTCTTTCTGCCCAGCTTCAAGCACCTGCTTATCCACTCTTGCCATCCTATAGTCTAAATATTGTTTTTCTACCTTAGCTGCCCATTCTGAATATGGTACCAATTTGCTTTTTAGTTATTTGTGGCCTGACACAGGGAGGGATGGGTAGAGGAAGCCAGGCGGCCTGGCCTACCTTCCTTCTCCACATGTGCAAAACGGCGTTGGCTCAAGGGCTTGACAGTGGCAGAGATGCAGGCCAAGAGAGCTGATAGTTAGCACCTGTCACAGCAGTAGGTAAAATTGTCACAGCAATAGGTAAAATTGGGTATGGCTGGATATTTATACAATGAAAATCACATCCGGAAGCTGTTTCCATAGTTTACTGCTTAGCAGAATATCCCAGGGACGGGCCTTCTATAATTCATAAAAAGAAAGCAGGCAGCTTTTGCTCTGGTCCCAGAATATAACCAGTGATACTCCAGCCCTGACAAGGCACCCCTGGTGTGCCCGACTGGCCTCACATGGACAGCTCCTTGTTAGATGGGCTAGCTTCCTGGCCACTGGTTCAGAGCATAGTGAGGAGGCTCCATTTCCAAGAGTTGGCCAAGTTTCTTGTCCATGTGTCTTGTCCTGATCCTGCCACTTCCAAAGATGCTTTACAGACCTTCCGCACACCTATCTGGGCTAACTGGAAACAGACGCTCACAAGTCTATCTCTGCTGGTCAGGTCCTGTTCACTAAGTTACAAAAACGCCTACGGAGTTGCAGAGGACATGGAAGCTGGTGCAGGACAGGCTACTCACTTCTGTTAAAATGCTCAGTGCCAAGTACCTACTCAGTTAAAACAGGATGGTATGCCTGCTTTTTATCTCAGGCTTCCGGAGCGGGCAAATATTCTGGCCTTTGAACTGCATTCTTGGAGAAAAAAAAAAAAAAAAAAACCTAGGAAGGATATGAACACAGATCAGATTTCAAGTCTTAAGGCATAAGAACTGAACACAAAACATCATTTCAGTTTTTCCTAGGTATTATGAATTTTAGAGAGACCCACAGTTTATAATGGGGGGAAGGGCCTAATTTTTGACCTCTTTGGAGCAGGGGTCTGTTAAAACAGACTTCTAATAGTTGGAGCCAATGCTTTTATTAACCATGACAATGAAACAAAGGGATTGTAACGCGGAGGTAAGCAGTTAGTGTCGCGGGAATGGTAGATGGGAAAGGAGGACCAAATTCCTCAACATGGAAGGAAAACAAGGCTGAAGTATTTGGATTGCTTTTCTTCAACAATTAAAATCAACTTGCAACTCACCCTTCACTGAAGGCAAACCAAGTGCTAGGACAGCGACTTGGAACTCAACAGAAAAGCAAGAAGTCGGGCAATTCAGAGATTGCTCGGCATACCTACTGAACACAGCAGAGTTGTTCTTTCAGACATTTTCTGAGTGAGGCTCGGGCCACTGGTGAGGTGTGGTCACAGCAGGGGCGGGTTTTGCATCTACTGTTGCCTTAGACGTGGCAGACACAAAGGTCACCTGTGTTAGGTCCTTTTTTCATGTAGAGTGCTTGCCTACAGCCAGCATTCCATAACTCTCACGGCAGGACTCTGTGCGGCTCGTCCTCAGTGCTGCCTGGAGGAAGGTGTAAGGGTTCGCTGTACTCATTGGAAGCTAGAAGCTTGCTTGACAGGGTGAGACGGAACAGCTCTGCAGAAGCCCACACTGACAGCTACTTACATTCTTAAACAGATCCCAGCTAACAAAGGGCCAGTTTCCGAAGAACAGATCTAGAAAGTACTACCAATATAGTTGACTACAGGACTGACACTTCTGACTGTGCATGAATATGAAAAGGTTGTGTTTTAGAAACCGTCAAATCTGCCTACTTCGGAAAAAATTCAAGTGATCTATGAAGTGTGAAGGAAGTGAAGATGTGTTCCAATTCTCTTTATAATAAGCAGTGTTCTCAGAGGGGGCCAGGCAACTTCAAGGGAAGCAAAACTCAAAATGAACAATACTGTAGTACAAGAGTATGGCCAAAAATACTGTATTTTTAACCAGTAAGATCATTGGGGCATTATTATACAACATTAGGTGTTTTTTTTTCTTTTTTTTTTTGCAAAACTAGTTCCCATCCCCAAACAATAGACAATACATGCATTTGAATGACATTTTAAGAACAGTAAGTATGATTTTTTTTTTTTTTTAAATACTGCAAGTTAAAAATGTTTTTGACAAAACTCCCTAAGTACACAGATCTAGTCAGGGCTTCCAACACGAGGGTGGATGTGGAGTTGGCCAGAGGCTGCGATTAGAGTCCTGTGAGGAAATCCGCCAGAAACGTGCTTCCATGAAAATGACCCGGACAAATTTACACAGTGTTTTTCCACTTTCTTTCCTAACCCTAAAAACAGCTCACTGAATGGTCCTCCTTCCTGTATTTTCTTCCTGACTACCAAAGCTTCTATGAAAGCCAGAATTCCTTTAAAGATCCAATTTTACCAAGTAGCTGTTTTTGTAACATGTAAATGTTATTAATCATCAGGTTCAAATTTTATGGAGATGGAGGCTCCACAGTAGATAGGAAAGGTAGGGAGGACGTATCTGAGCACCTACTGTGCGTCAGGTGTGTATGCATACTTTGAACAGATGACTCTAGAGGCATGGATGCTGTTGAAGGGTGGTAGTGGGGAGATAGGAGGAGACGGTATTATTGCGAGAAAGATAAAGTGTAGTGTCTCAGCAAGTTACCTGTGGAATGGCAGCTGTCTGGATTCCCAAACGTCTGCCCAATCACATACAACCAAGGCATTTTATTTCTCTTAATTGTCCAGAACCAAAATTGAGTCCCAAAGACACAGTGCCAGGACATCTAGAAAGCTGCACATGCTGGAAGTGTGTAGAGACAGAGAAACACACATTGTTAGCTTCCATTTTTGTACGTGTCTCTAACCAAAGAGTTCTCTTTGGAATAAAATATAATGTATGCCCAAGTACACCTTATTTGTATCCATTGAGATGCTGTTAATTATCACTTGAGTGGCTTGAAACCCTTATTTAATTTTAAGAAGAGCAGCGATATACATTACAATATTTGGGTACACTTTATTTTTATATGGGTTAACATTCTGCTATATTTCACTTCATTCGTTCTTTTGAAAACTAAAAACAAAGGGGCATGGGGTTCATCTGAAGGGATCTGAGGAATTTCCAACCAAGATCTGAGTCTTGCAGTATCTTGTTATGCAGCCCTTTCTTCCCATTATTAGTTTTTATTTTATTTTATTTTTTTGCAAATAATCAAGTCATTTAGACCCAAATCCAGCATAAACAGCTTTTCACCAATTCCTACTTAAGACAACTAAAATTTACAATCATGTGGCAGTATAAATTTTTAAATTACAATTCGTACAACTTGACAATCAATAATAAGTCTGAAGTACAAAAAGTAAATTGCCCTTTGGCTGAATTACCTTTTAAAACTATTAGGCCTGCTAATGTAATCTAAATGAAAGAAAACAAAACAGAGCTCCCAAGGCCCCCCGAGTTCCAGGTTCTTTAAACATCACTGTGGATGCCTCCTGCCAGTAAACAACACATGCAGGCCTTAAGAAGACTTTCCCAGCTACTCAGGACATTCAACAGAGCTCTTCCTAAGGAAACTAGGAAAACCCAGCAGGTTCTATAGGACTTGCTCACTTCTGCACGGGCGTGTTTTCCCTTTGTTTCAGGTATGAGGCACAGACTTCTGAATTTAAGCTCTGTAAGGCATAGTATAAACCTCCAATTTACAGGTAGAAGTTCTCTGTGGGTGGGAACTGCCACATTGCACACAGAAGGGAGACATCATCTGTAAACGGCCCACGGTGGTGTGCTGGGTGGCTCAGGAGGTGGCTGCCTGCCTTGGTATGCTGAGGAAGGGTTTCTGTGGTCTGTGTTTTGCTTCTGAATAAGACATGCCCAAGTCACCATAAAACTCACAAGCCTCCATTATCTAAAGCATCAACAACAGGAGTCAGTGGCACAGCTTAGAATGCTTGCAATCACAATAGAAGAGAAAGCATGAGTAAACTTCATTTTTTTTGTTTTTTGTTTTTGTTTTTTGTACAAAACTGAGAAGCCCTTCCCGCCCCTCACCCCTTCAATAAAACCCCAAACAAGAAACAACAATAAAATTATTTTTAGCTTCAATGACTAGTGTGGATACAATTAGGTGTCTAGGCGTCACTGTGGCTAGGGTGATCAATGTTTTCCTTTCTCAAAAGAAGGGAGCCTGTCATGCACCCCAGGATGCGCAGCGAAGCCACAACTTCAATTCTGCATAGCAAGTTCCATCCTCAATTCATAAACACAACATGGCGACCTCTCCCTGCTTTGCTCAGCAGCTCTGAGCTTGAGATCAGGATGACTCAACTACATCTACTACAGCTCTATTAAATAGAATAGCTCGGTTCCTTAGGACTTTTTAACACTTCAGATCCTGTGATGAGGTTTTCTCTATACACTGTAGGCCATCAAAATGTTACTTTTTACTCATTTTCTTTCTTCTTCTTTTTTTTTTTTGGTTTTGTTTTTTTTTTTCTTTTTTTTGTTTGTTTTGTTTTTTTTTGTTTTTTTTTGCTGCACCAGATTTAAGGTTGCCCTTTCAGGCAAGCAGTGGTCTCTAGCTGATAAAACATTTCCTTAGTGGATCACAATAGCTTCTAAAACTGCCTTTCTAATAAAGGCCACCAGAGAGGTAATGCTAAACTGTGCATTTGCCAAATAAGAATATGAATTGTATAAAAGCTCATATTCCAACCCCAGGTCAAATGGCAAAAGGTCTACAAAGTTGGTCTCTGTTTGTATAAAAGCTCTGACAGATGTTGTGTGTTTGCTATGAAATTACCTTTGGGTCTTAGGTCAGCACACCTCTACTCGGGAATGTGCAAATGATTTTAGACAGCACGATGCTAGTACCGCTCTGTACGATAGGAAGGGTTTTTTTTCTCTTCTTTTCTAAATGGAAAAAAATATCCCTAGTCAGAAATAAACTGACAAATTTACATTCTCCTCTCTTAAAAAAGTAAATAAAATAACATTATTCAAAATGTGAATTAGCTATAAGACATACAATACAATTACATAGATACATATCAATACAGCACATTCAATCTGCCAAAAAATTAATGATTACAAAGCCAGTACGGATGCTGCAATATCAAGAGAGATGTATGTACAATGATCAGAGCATTCATAATTGCACTATACCTACAGGCAATCTGTTAATTAAATTACAGGTGCTTTCTAGAGCAAGGGATAAAAAAGTAGCTGTGTTGTTTTGAGGCTGGGAGAGTAAAGCATGAGAACACTTCATTACGAGTCAGCAATTTCAATGTTCATACAGTGAGCTGCTCACTCTCTCCCTCCTTTGTTATTCAAGAAAAGTGATTTATATGGAAGTTCAGCCAAGTGCCAAGCACGAATGACACTGGTATCCCAGTCTAACTTCCCAGCAGCCTTAGCGCAATCACGATCTACTTAAAAGACATATGATGTAGGCTGCTCACTCACACATGTTCAGCACTGCTTGCATCTGCTGACAGATTGCACAGGGAGAATTCCAAACATCTCTCCTAGATGATCGTCACATAAATACATGCTTGACGGAACACTGAGTGGTGACTTTTGAATAAGTCGACAAATCTTCCTTAAGTTCAAGTGACCAGTTCAAGAAGATCCTGAAGGTGGTAAAGCCAGCTCACTTTTGTTTTTTTTTTTCCCCCAAATCAAAGGTTTCAGGCTAATACTATCCACCAGTGTTCTTGGCAGGCTCACTTGAACTTAAAAGAACACACAACTGGTGCCAGTAGAGAACGAACAGATCTCATGACAAACCACACAGGGTACTTTTCTACACTGTTCATCTGGACACTGGCACTGACCTTAAGGGCAAAGAAAAGAACGGACCATGAGAAGCAGTTCAGTTAGCAACTGTTTGGCAACGTGTGTTTCCGGTTCACACCCAGCTGTCACCCCCCTCCCTGTCTTAATGCTTACATTTTGAGACGCTGGCTTTTACTGTTTAAATTCTTAATTTATTTTGTCTTATAAAAATCTGGCTTTGGCAACACATACCCATAATAAAAATTATTTTAAAATTATGGCCCAAACACAAGGGGGGACAGGAGGGAAGGAAAGTTGAAACAAACAGAAAATGAAGAAGCTACAAGAGGGCTCTGGCAGCAGCTGCTGGGGAATGTAGTGTCTGTTGGCATATCATTTGGCATCTGTGGTTTAAAGAGAGAGTGAAAAACCTAACGAGAAATAAAAGGAAGCAAGGAAGAGAGGAAGGATGTGGCACAAGGGGTGGAGAAGCAAGGACCTCTTCACAGCCTGTGCCTACACTTTGACTCCCATACATTTCTCTGTACAATCAGCTATGGCTGACGGTCTGCACCTAAAAGATATGCCTCTTAACCATCAATGGGCACCCACTGTCCTGGCTCAAGTGAGACAAGACGATATAGATTATACATGTATGTGCATGTATGTATTGAAAAAGAAATACTAGCTGTGATGTGCATCCAGAGAGATACATTTAAAACATAGTAGTAACACAGACACACCTTCATCAGGAGCACTGTTAAAACAAAGCTGATATAAGACGGCTTCAATCGAATGACACTGTCCTGACCACATCACTCGACCGAGAAACTTGACCAAGAATGGAACTACGGTAAAAGCCATTGTAATATGAGAGAAAAGAAAAACAGCATGGAGGAATGGAATAGGAAGAAGAAAAATCAGCTTTCTTTTGGTCAACAGGAAAGCGGAGGAAGGAAAAGAAAGGATGAGAGAGAAAGAGAGAGAGAGAACAAATGACAGGAGTGCTTTTATATTGTGAGTGAATGACTAAAAATTTAAAATACATTGAGTCGCAAGGTTTGCCTAAAAAAAAAAAAAAAAAAAAAAAAGAGGAAATGTGCTGGGACTGTACTTCAGCATCCTCTTTCCTCTGAATAGTTTAAATAAAATCATAATATTTACTACAGCTCTGTGGACACGCTCACAGAGTCCAGGACGGCAATAAATTAGTATTATGCAAATTGTTTCCCACAGAAATACAGTCCCTCTTGTTTTTCTTCAACAGCCCATAGGGAAGGGAAGAACGGTTTCTGGGAGGCACGGTTAGACCAGATTGTACTCCTTCAGGTTCAGCTGCAGAATGGTGTCCTTGACGGCAGCAAAGACAAAGCGGATGTTCTCCGTATCTGTGGCGCATGTGAAGTGGGAGTAGATAATTTTGTCACTGTCAGGGTTCAGGTCCACGAACATCTTCAAGATGAATTCTCGAGCTGCCTGGGCATCTCTCTGGGGTCCTGTTTGCCAACAGAGAGGAGAAGCAAAGTCTGTTATGTGATGCACTACACATCTGTTTATCTGTTCAGTCAGCACATATTGTCCTATGAAGACTAATCCATATTCCAGATCTTATCGAATTTACTGTGTGATGATATGAGTTGGTTTGTATTTTCTTATGCCTCATACACTGTCCCATGATAGTTTTATTTGGCTAAACTAGAAACTTGTGATGGTTAGGTTTTAAATGTCAAGTTGGCACAATCTAGAGTCACCTGAGAAGGGAGTCTCAGCTGAGGGGTTATCTAGATTATCAGGTTAGCTCATGGACATGTGTGAAGGATTGCTAACTGATGGAGGGAGACCCATTGTTGGGGCACCATTCCCCAGGCAGGGGTTCCTGAACTACACACAACAAAAGAACTAGATGCAGCAAGCATGCATTTATTCTCTCGGTTCTTGCCTGTGGGCATGATGTGATTACCTGCTTGAGCTCCTGCACTGATTTCCTCAAAAGATGAACTGTGACCTGGGACTTGTAAGTCAAACAACAACACATGTGAAACTAAAACACTTGTCATAGTTTTTTCTATTTTGTTGGTAAACATCAAGACCATAGCAATCTGGGGAGGAAAGGGTTTATTTCAGCTTAGAGCCCATTATGAATAAGGGTCTGGGCCAGAATCTGGAGGCAGGAACTGAAGCAGAGGCCATGGAGGAGTTCTTACTAGCCTATTCCTCGTGGCTCATTCAGCCTGCTTTCCTACACAGCTCAGGACTACCTGCCTGGGGGGTGGCCCTAAGCCAATCATTAATCAAGAAAACGTCCTTCAAACTTGCCTCCAGGCCATTCTGATGGAGGCATTTTCTTAATGAGGGTCCTTTCCCCAAGATTACCCTGGCATGTGTTAAGCAGACAAAACAAACAAACAAAACAAAACACTAGCTAGCACACTTGTATAATCATTCTGTAGTTGATTCTTACATACAACCCCAACGCAGAAGCAGTATAAGAAAAAATAAGCTGAACCTTACCAAAATTAAAAACTTGTTATCAAAGTACATTATCAAATGAAAAGTCTATACAATTCATATACATAAGGACTTAGCACCTAGAATATATAAAGATCACATATATATGTGTGTGTGTGTGTATATATATATATATATATATACACACACACACACACACATATCAACAAAAAAGTGAACTGATTAAAATTGGACAGAAGACTTGAAATGACAGTTTTAAAGAAGGTATATAAATAACCAATGAGCACATGAGATGTTTAACTTTGATGCTCATTTAGGGAAATACCAAGTGATGTCGTGAGACATTCTTCCCATCTGCTAGCCTGGATATCATTTAAAAGGGGAGAAAATGACCCTTGGCAACAGGTAGCGTGTGCATCTAAAGCCCCACAGAAAGCTATGGAGCCAGAGTGACCCTTAACCTCCAAGGAGGTACTTTTCTTAGGTAGCTTTTAAAGGGATAAAACCACTATGTCCCAAATTGCCTTTGTTGATGATCTCATCTTGTAGTAGAATGTGTCTTCTGCTGATACATTCACCCTGTAAGCACTTCGGGATGTGGCCCTACTCCGTGGTAGGTAATATGCTAAGTCATCTCTCTACAACTCCATCAGTCGTTATGAATGGAGGAATACCGTATGGACTACAGCTTGGACAGCTCGGTAAAGGGCCAGAGACTAAGCATTAACACCACGCATTTTTGATGTGGTGGTGAGAACACAGGCCTAAGAAAATGTGTGGTTGCAATGAGTTCTTTATAACAGCAGGAGGCGGGCTCAGGTCTGGCCTGCCCACTGCAGGCCTCTGGACTGGGGCCTCTGGACTGCCGGGAGGCTGGGTGTGGATACAGTTTGTCAGCAAGTTTCCCTCAGCAAGGTGATGTCCTGTCGTCAGAACCACAGAGTGTGGCTGGGAGATCCACTCAAGTGAGCACTGCAGCAAGGGCACTTCATGAATAGCCAGCAGCACTAAGGGCTGTGGGGTTTCGCTCTCCGGCTGTGGTGATCAGTTTAGCTAAGCACCAGTGAAGATCCCCCAAAGCAAATGCTGCAGGTACCACACTCATGTCAGGCCTTTATAAAGCAGGTCTCACAGTTCTGGCCTGAAGGGAAATCAAGTGACTCTAAATGTAATTAAATGGGAAGGGCCTGCACTGGAACTGAACCTCAGCATATGTAGTGGTTTGACTGAGGGTGTCCTTCACTGACTGGGATATTTCAACACCTGGTCCCCAGTTGGTGGTGCTGTGTAGGGAGGGGGGTTTCAGAGGTGTGGACTGCGGTAGGAAGTAAGTCACCGCAGGTGGGCTTTGAGCATTTTGAGCATATAATAGTCTCATCTCACATCTGGTACTTTCTGCTTTGGCATTCGTTTTGAAGATGTGATCTCTCAGTTTCCCATCCCTGGCCATCATGTCTCAAGTCTGCTGTCATGCTTGTTTAAGAGTCATGATGGACTCTTCCCTCTCTGGCACTATAAGCCCAAATACACCCTGCCTTCTCTAAGATCCCTGGTTGTGGTCAACAGCATTAAGTACTGATTCAGAATACTAACTTTAGAGGTGCGCTCCTTACCAGAGAGAGGCAGAGGTGGGAAACAAAATTAAAGGGAAGGAAACTGGAAATTACAATGGCTGATAGAAAAATCTACTGAATTATTTCTTCTCTGAGTTGGTTATTTCAAAACATCAGATAACTTGTTGCTTTCCTCATAACTGTTAACATTAGGAATAAAACCTTTGTTGTCGTTACAAGTCAGAGAACAGTCACTTCTAGTCCAGCGTGGCCTCGGGAACACAGTGGCTCCAGGCACTGCACCGTGCTCCCCTTAGACCCCAGAGGCTCACAGCTCTGGAAACTGTCCCGGCTGCCTCCTGCACTAGTGTTAACAGCACAAGCCTTTCTCTGCTGCAAGGCTGGCAAAGGGTGCCCACTTACCATCATATTCTGGGAAGTAGTCAACTAGGTGGGAATACATAATTTTCTCCTCTAGAAGGTCTTTCTTGTTTAAGAACAGAATAACAGAGGAGTTCTGGAACCAGGGATATGTGATAATTGTTCTAAAGAGTGCTTTGCTCTCCTCCATTCGGTTCTGGAGAAAAAAAAATCAGAAAAACAAGGAATGAATTATACATCTGGTGAACTGGCTGCTTTCTTAAGTTCAATCCATCTTCTGTGTACTTCCAAGTTTTAAAGCCTGAGTTGTCAGAACTTATATGTAAATGATTCACGACACACCGACTGTTTTCACTATGCCAACTTTCAGGTTGGCAAGCAGAAGAGAGCAGTAATAAAAATACCTGCTGAAATAACTTCTTAGGGTTGAAAAGAAAGTAATCAGGGCCCAGACAACGAGGCTGTGTCTGACATGCTGTAATAAATTTCCACCAAAAATATTTATTCATAATCAAATACTTAAGACATGAGTTAGGCAAAAAACGTCAGGCTACACTTTGTATTTTCTAAACTACATTTATTTGGAGCTTCACTATGCTTTAAGCATTCAAATCAAAGTTACTTACTTGCCCCTAAGCATACCTAGAATATACCACACCGATGTACACACACACACACAGACACACTCCTGGGTCAGCAGGTACGTGGGCTCACCACTGCTCTTTGGTGCACTCTTTCTCCATGTTTCACTGTATGCACTCCTGCACAACTACGGCTAAAACAAAGTAACAACCTGGAGACAAAAATCTAGCTTTTGCTTGCTTTAAAGACATGGTCTCACTGTACATGGTCTCACTGGCTGGCCTGGAAGTTACTACACAGACTGTACTGGCTTCAAACTCAGAGAGATCGACCTGCTTCTGCTTCCCTCAAGTTGGATTTAAAGGTGTGCATCACCCTGCCTGGCAAAATACAGTATTTCTTCCTCAGCACTTGTAAGTGTGCTTACCTGGGGCAAGACTTTCAGGCTTACTCTGGTGACAGAAACCGAAGAGAGAAAAATGCAAGCTCTGAAATCTGAAGAGTGAACCATTCCCCGGCGCTTCTAACTTCATGAACTTGTGCATTAAGTAAGAAAACCCTCAGGGTAAGGAGACATTTGTTCCTTATTTGCACTGTGTACTGGGGGAAAGCATGGCACAAAGATGGTAGGTTCTATGAAGAACACACAATTCTCTAAGGCTGTGACTGTAGCCTGCATGCCTGCAACACTGGGGGTGCTGTGTGACCAATTAGGCACAGTACACCAAGAAGCCTTCCTTTGGCTTGGGTGTGGACATCCTTCTTAACCAGGAAAAGGCCAGGGCATGTTCACAGGGCCCTAGACCCCACTTGGAAGCTGGTTTTCTACAGGCTGGAGTCTGGTCCAAGTTTGCATAAAAAGTTACTGAAAGGCCTAACATAATGTATCTAATGCCTTTCCGCTTCAGGGCACTGCTGCTCACAGGTAAAAGCTGCATTTTCCTATTTCTCCTCAACAGACTGGTGCTTCTCTCTGTCCAGTCAACATAACTAAAGGTTTGAACAGCAGACTTTCAATAGACTCTCCACCTCATTGTTCCATCACCAATACACACGTGCTCTCTCTCACAGCTGTACGAAAACAAAACACCCAAAGACCTAGTTGATAAAAAGATCCTTCACTATTTTACGAGACACAGTTCTGTAGGAAGAGGGACCAGTCCTGGGTGAATGCGTGTTGATATGCGCATGGCCAGGGCAAGGACCCCAGTGAGTCATCTGATGGCAAATCTTCCCGGGTGAGGCTCAGAGGGATGACAGACCCTTCCCTGGGTTTTAGGGAGAACGTCGACAGGGTGTGGAGAACACGTCCACCATAGCTTTCTCCTCCTGACGTTTGCAGCCTCAGGGCTGTTCTTATGAAGATTAGCTAAACCCACCTCTTCATTCAGCTGTGTGCAACAACCCCCTCACCCTGTCTAACTGTGTACCACAAACAGAGCTTCTGGGCATGGTGGTCATTCCACCCAAGAGCCCAGATCACCAGATTCCTAAATTTTAGCTTTTCTGTGTGTCTGTGTGTTTGTCTTTCCTTTATTCTCTTGCTGCCCCAGTCAGGTCAAGGCAGTGCAAGAATGTGGCATAAGTCACCTGACTGATTCCTTGATATTTTGTCCATTTTTATAGCTTGAGAAATCCTATCAAATTACAGAGTTGATATAAGTTCTAGGATAGCGACTGTACATACAAACTAGATGCTGAAGAAACAAACATGTAGAAAATCAGATCACCTCATTCCTGAGACTGACAGTCATCTGTGAGGTGTTTACAGCTGGCCCACTGCTGGAGGAAGGACAGAGCCCAAAGAAACTGAAATGAAGCTTCTAGAGTACAGTAATATCCCATGCTGTCTGGAAACCTTGGAAGATAAGTGGTCCAGTGTTAACCTCCTGATGCCAGAAGCACATGGAGGTGACTGTTTCCTGAGCTTTCCATTACAAAAGAACACCAGGGACTTCTAAATCAGACAATGGAGTTCAGACAGACAAGCAGATGTACAGACAGAATAAGCAGAGAAGGAGGCTCATGAAGCGGACTGATCGGTACAAGGGCAAAGGCGTTTGCGATGCTTTAAGAACTTGTTAGGGCTGGAGAGATGGCTCAGAGGTTAAGAGCACCTTTTATTCCTCCCCCCAATTGCTTCCAGATTCACCTGTACTTCTCTACCTGCCCCCAAGAACTGTTTGTTTATTTATTTAAATAATCCAGCAGTCCACTTTGTGCTGCTCATGTACTCATGACTGTGGCCATGCCCTGTAATGCAGTGGGCCTACTGGAGCCAAAGCCTTCAGGAAAACTAACAATGTTTATTATTTTAAAAGAGCAAAATCCAAATATTTACTTCTACCTAATTACTGTACATAATAACTCATTATAACATAAACTCTGAACCACGATCATTATCATTTGCAGCACATCAAACAGTGAATAATTTAAAAACTCAATCCTCCAACAAGGAACCATGAGATCATTCCTTTGGTGTTTGTTTCATTTCAAATATCTACTGTCTACTTGATCAACTAAGGCGACAACTCAAAAGACCATTCAAAGACCTGCCACTGCAACCTACAAGAGATCCTCTGAGCATCTCTTTCCTCCCTCGGTTATTTGGGATAAGGCTTGGCTGTGTTTCACGGTGCATCTCCGGCAACGCTACACTGTTGGGGGCATGCAGGAAAATGTCCAGGAATTCCTAAGAATATGTACTGCTGCTGTGGCAGCGCTGAAGGGCCAGGACTGGGTGCTGGGTACTTTTGGTTTGAGAATAGCTCTATTGCAAATATTCTGCGTGACCTTGGGCAAAGGGGCTGAGCATCAGTTTTCACATATCTCCTAGAGTTTGTGAATACAGAATAAGACATAGGCTCTGGCTGTGGTCCAGTCACATGGGCAGCCATGATACTGGCATAACAACTACCATACGCCAATCTCTCGGTGAGGCCATTTGCTTATTTTAAATACATAGCTCAAAAAGAGCCAGTAAAATATTTCCATTCTCTAGACTTGCACATGCTCCCAAATCCAGGCAAAGTCAATTGCTAAGAACTGGAAAGTCACCCAGACCTCTTACTACTCTGCTTCTGAGACTTTCCACATGTTAAAGTGGGTTATCTTAAAAAATCTCAGAAAGCACTCAACTCCCAACCCAGACAAAACCAAGAAGACAACAGACATGTAACTTCAATGGACAAAAATTAATTACTTCCTTAGTCACCCCCTTCTGTTACCCAAATCAGAAAAGAGAGGTAGACAGGACAGGAACACCAAGCCCAGCTGGACACACATTGTTTCCACAATGATTTCCCTGTTCTTTGCAAATCTCTGCATGCAACTCTTTGAGGTCAAATCAGGTGTGCAATGCAGGCTTGAAGACAATTCCAGAAAGTTTTCATAGGGTGGCTTTGTACACATGTCAGCACATTCTGCCGCCCAGGATGTGTAGAAAGGCAAAAGGACAGAACAGATTTGCCTATTACCCCAAGGTCTATGGTTTTGGGCAGAGATGAGATCACAGATGGGGCCCCAGTGAAGTGAAGCATGCCAGTGTATAGCAGAAGAGAAGGGTGGTTGGGAGAGACAGATAGGTCAAGGAGGGACAAAGGAGAGCAGAAGAACACAGCAGAAGAAACTGGAAAAACATGGGACTTTCTCTGGTTTGGATGTGCAGTCCTGGAACTCGGAGACTGAGACCACTTCCTTTACTATTGTCTAGTGGTTTAGTTCAGTCACACAATCAAACAACAGCCTCTTTTTAAAGTCTATTTTACAACACATTGTTCTTTCAATTTAGCAATTACATATCTGGCCTTCTTAAGCTGACATGTGAGTGAACTAAAGCCTATCTTTAATTTCTACACGAAGCTTCTCTTTACTCATAACACTTTTTACTGGAGTGGAGTGGCTTCAGATCTGTAACATCCCTGTGCACGTGCTATTGACTTTTCAATTCACTGGCCTTCCCTCCTATTTATCCTGCTTTCCATCCATACCTGTTAATTCTGTGCTACCATCTTGGGGCAGTTTTGTTGACAATTCCAGGGAGATCACTCCTTCCTTTCTCTCTAATGTAATTGTGTTTCATAACCCAAACAACTATCCCCTACTACTTTTAAAATACTCTTTTGTCATGCTTCAAAATTAAATCCTATGTGCTATCTCATCAGCGTAACATGTTCCCCCACAACAAATGCAGGCGCCTATAGTCTCCTGACCAGTTCGCGATGTTTCTTTTATTCTACTTTTAATGATGACCAGAGTGGTTCATTCCCAAGCTCCTGAGTTGATAGTTATAGTTTCTGTTTCCAGGAGCACTAATGGAAAAAGTCATACATTTCTCACCATGAAGATAGACAGACCTCCACGGTTTAGTCAAAACAATAGCTTATTCATTCCAAACTATCTGAAATTCCTGGGTCTCCATTCACGTAAATGACGCTTCAGCAGGTGCCTAAGGATGCTCAGGCATCCAAGGAACCAAAGGAACAACTATGCACCTACTCAGTGAGGCCACTTGAAGAAGTAGGCTGTGATCTTGGAGCACAGTGGACCCATTAGTGCTGACTATGACCAACGACCAGTGGCTGATCTGACTGAAAAGTCTCTATTTCCATTTCA